TATATATTATATATACACACACATAGTACATGCACATTTGTACAGGACAATAGAACATTTTGAACCACTTTGACCAGGATTGCCTCAAACTATTGTCAACAAAGAAGAATCTGTCCAGAGGACCAGACTCATCCTGGTTTGAATAATAAACACTTTCTCTTTAAAACCCATTGTTCTCTTTACTTGTTGTTTAGGATCGTCTGACATTCAGGAGGATCATCGTGAAGAACAATGCCAAGAAGAGGAAGACGTATGAAGCCTTTATTGAAACTCTACCACTGCTAACATCCTTGGAGGTAAAAAATAACTTGGTAACCCCTGTGGTAATTGTGCATAAGTAATTAGATAAAGATTATCATCAACCAAATGTTGCTTTGTTCACAGGTGTCAGAGAGAATGAAAGTGGTAGATGTGCTAACCACCAGGGTGTATGGAGATTCACAGCAGATCATTGCTCAGGTAAAGACTCTGAACTGTTAAATACTTCTTAACTTCTGTATAAACTGAGGTATTTTAACACACATCTCTTTGTTCAACAGGGGGATTTAGCAGATTGCTTCTACATCGTTGAGAGTGGCCAAGTTAGAATCACCATGAAGAGAAGCCGGGTATTTTTCTCTAATTTTTGTCTTAGAGTAACCGATCCTTCAATATATGAACACAAATGTAGTTCCCAGTGTATAGACTAACTTCACTGTGTTCATTTGTGTGCATTTCTTTCATGTCAGACAAAAAAAGACCAGGAGGAAGAGGAGGTGGATATCGCCATGTGCACAAGGGGCCAGTATTTTGGAGAGTTGGCTCTTGTCACAAACAAACCAAGAGCTGCATCCGCCTATGCTGTGGGGAGTGTCAAATGCTTGGGTACATTTTGTACAGTTCTGTGTTTAGAGGGTGGGTGTGTGTGTGTGTGTGTGTGTGTGTGTGTGTGTGTGTGTGTGTGTGTGTGTGTGTGTGTGTGTGTAAGCAGTTACTCCTAATCACTGTTTTACTGCTACTGTTTACTCTTCTCTATGAAAGGGGCTTGTGATTACATCAAATCTTAGGTCTAATTTAATCAAATGTGAGGTCCTACACTAATAAGAAAAAAACAGGGAAGTAACTGAAGCTCAATTACATAAATGTGCTTTATAATACCATCCAATAAGAAACAGAGTAAAATGGCAGTAATTGAAGTATAAGGCAATAAAATAGTAAAATGTTTGATCAAGTTAAAGTTGTTGCAATTGGTCGGCCTTAAATTATCTGTACTTTTGCTTCAAAGTTTTTGACTTTCCTATATTTTCTTTTTCCATAAATCAAATTTTACCGTCATAAACCACTGGTGCAGCCATTGCAAAAGGTTTTGTAACATAAGTTTTATTGTAAATGTAGGGGTGCACCGATTGCAGTTTTCTGGCCGATCACCGATCACCGATTTCTAAAAAGTCTGAGCTGCCGATTCCGATTTTGTTTTATAAGCGACACTGTCAGGCGTTATAAGGTCACAATGCACCTTCAATTTTCCAATATCATTTTGTTGAAAAACATACCCTTGAACAATATCCTAGAAACAATACATTTTGTTTTAACTGGCCATGAGGTAGTGCTCTGAAATATAAATGAAGTTTAGACAACTGTTGTTAAAACTAAAAAAATCGGTAAAATTGGTTTCTCATTCATGTATCAGCCATTTCCGATTTCCCAAAATTAAGGAAATCGGGGCCAATTTATCAGTGCACCCCTATAAATTAGTGTAGATTTTTACAGGCAATTATTTTTAATAGATTTTCATTGTATTTCTCATTTTCTTTGAGGAAACAAGAATCAGGATGTGAATCAGCTGACAACAGGTTTATATTACATTAGAACAAGTTTGGGTTTTCAAAGACAACTTGCTGTCTGCCATCTGAAGGCGATGGGTGATGATGAGTTTGCCTGTGTATGTGTATGTGTATGTGTGTGTGTGTGTGTGTGTGTGTGTGTGTATTTCTTAGTCTTCAGTGTACTCAAAATATCACAAGAACCATAAAATGAATATAACAAAACTACCAGGAAAAAAAAAATCAAATGTATGTCTATAACTGATTATTTTTTGTTGTCAACCCAATTCAAGTTGTCCACCACAGCTAACCATCCTTAGCAAACATAAAACTGGCTATAAATCAGTCATTTTTACAGATAATGAGCTAAGGTTTGGTGTAGAAGTAGCTGAGAGTCATTCAGAACACATACTCTGAGCACTAAGTGATCACATAAAGTCTTTGTTTAAAACGTTGGCGTTAACTAACGAACTCAACTTTTTTTCAGCAAAATATGTCATGAATGAGTGAATGGGTTTTGATTAAATTTTCAGAATGCAATCATTGGATTTATGTAAACAACTGACTAATGTTGGGAGTCAGCCAAATTCAAGATGGCCACCATGGCTTCTTTGCCTTGACAAACACAAAATTGGCAATAACTCTCAGTTTTACAGATAATGAGCTAAAAGTTGATGTGGTAGTAGCTGAGAGGCGCTAACAACTCTGACTGCTAATAAATGGATTGAGATCTAGTGATGCCACATACGATCACACATTCTATTCTTAACCAAAATAGCTTTAACGCTGTCATTTATCAGAACAAGATCTGAAGTTAAAATTCTGGCCTGAAAGGCTCTTTAAAGGGCCTTTAATTTAGGTTTGGTAAATGCTACAATCTTTGAGTGCTTGCACTCTGTAATTTTCCAGATTATCACTTAAATATTTTACATTAATTAACCTGATTCTGATAACAATGTAAACATTTTGTCTGCTTCTCTTTTACTGGCTTCGTCAGTCATGGATGTAAAGGCCTTTGAGAGACTGCTCGGCCCATGCATGGACATCATGAAGAGGAACATCGCTAACTATGAGGAGCAGCTGGTGACCTTGTTTGGAAGTAGCCCTGAGATCGAGCAACAAAGTGGATGAGGTGACTGCAATGGACCATAGTGGAGCTGATAGACAAAAAAACAAAACAAAAGGAGAAGCAGAAAAAAAGAGGCTTATGTGGATGTTTTCCACATCACTACTTAAAACAGCTTTTGTAAAAGACAAAAAAACATCAATGTAAATATTCACCACACTACATTTGAGTGTCAGGTAACACCATGTGACACAAGGCCTGACGACGAGCATCGTCACAACCACAGTGAGTCAAAGCAGAGCTGCAAGCAGCTCGTTTGACTCCAGTTCTCATGACTTTCACTTGAATAATACGTGCACATTTTACTTGTCAGTGTCAGGTGCTTTATTTGTTCGTAAACTGAACACTTTGTTCAACTTTTACTTTTATTTAAAAGGTTACAGCAACACGACCTGTACAACATTGTTTGTAAATTTCTAAACCTTATGTGTTTTAGACCAGGTGCCAAAGCCAATTCCTAATGGGGATTATTGGGAGCAAATTTGATACATTCTCCCGTTACAATAAGAGGTGCAGCAGCCCAAATGTGACAAAAAGCAGATTAACTATTTTAGCCCTGAGATTATGGCTGGATATAGTTAAGCATAAATTCATCTGTGTTTATCATCATGTGACCATACACACAGAACTGTACTGTACCCAGTCCTCTGCTTTTACAGCACAGCAGACATCAAAGAGGAAACAGATACTTTTTTAATAATTAAAAAAAGCACTCAATCAAATATTGTACAATTTTAAAACTATTTATTGTTCCAATTGAACAAAGTCCCATCCTAAACCATAGTCATTATAGGCAATGTCTTGAGATAATTGATTTAGCTGTTTTACTGTAAAATTTTATTGTGTAGGTGAAATATACCTTAATAATTCATCCATTATTGCTGTCTACCTCTGCCAAAGCGTACAGATCTTTGCTGAACCGGTATCTAACGTGATTCTTCTTTTTTTTTTTTGTTTATGTAACTGAAAGTCTTAAGTATTCTGTCTGCAACGTGTTTTCTTACATTTCATAATGCTGATTTCCCACCATCACATTCTGGTAGCAATTTTGAGTTTTGATGACAAAACTACAAAAGTGTTTAGAAGAAAATGGTTTCACTTTTCATGTCAATAAAGAACATTTTATAATTCTGTGTGGCATAATTGTTCGTTATGAAATGCAAAGTACTGTATGTCCTGACAGTTTTGCTCAATGGTGGCTCATTCATCATTCGGTTGTTCAGTTCACTCATTCATTTGGCTGCTAGATCTTAGCAGAGAGCTAATCTAAAGTTTCATTACAAGGGAGGAAAAGTAATTTGAAAATTGTTATTTGCTGTAGTTACAACATTGCAGAGAAAAAATAACCGTGTATTGTTCACGCTCTTGCCAATCAGCTGTTACTGTTTAGTGACAGGCGTACACTTTTGGCCAATCGGAACAAGAACAACAAACCATGCCCCGCCTTCTTTAAGTTACTTAAATACATAAGCCAATAGACTGTCGACATTTTTTAGATTGACGTTGTTATGAACCAATAGGAGGCGTCCTCTGGAACCGTTTAGTCCCACCCCTCGACTGAACCCCTCAGAGTTTGTTGATGGCGATAGCTGTGGTAAGTGGGAAGTTGAGTACTTATTTTCGAAGAAATAAATGGTTCAAACTAATTTTTGTCACGGTATTCTTGCCATTAGTGTAATTGTACTTTCATCATGATGTTTTCTTGAGGTTGTCATGATTTCCTTTAATATCAAACGAAAGGTTGAGATCGACAATGGTTTTTTTCCGCTGTGGATAAGAAACCCCCCCGAGGGCACTTTTGTGTGATAAAACAACTTCTTTAATTGGCGAAAATGGCCGTGCTGGACGCCAAAATGTGGTTAAAAGGCTTTCGGAGTGTTTCTTGTCATTCATTTTGAACGGTGCAGAGGGGTTGCGTCATGTCCCAACTTGTTGACATTCTTTTGTTTACAGCGTTCGACCCGACAGGCTGAGGGTCTGAGCAGATCCGCTGCTGCTCCGAACCACTCTCAAAGTAGGCCTTAGCTGTTAGCTCGTCTTTTTGGACGTGTCGACACTTTAAAAACGTTTTTATTGTAGCTCGCTGTCTTTCAATTTGCCATTATGAAGACGAAGCCCAAGCTTTACTCAACACATTTCGTTCTTTTGCCTTTCTCGTTAAGCTAATTCATTTGGCTTTAACATCTTTCATAGTCTCGTAAAACACAGCATGTAATTTAAATTTAAAATAATTCATTTTGTGCTTGGACTTAATACGTGTTTTTATTGTTTCCTTTTTGTGTTTTTAAGTTTATGGGTCTTTATGAAGACCCGTGTGCTCTCCATTTGTCGCTCTAGCTGCGCAGTTCTGAATGAATGAGCACGGCTGCGCATGCGTCAAACCTAAGTTTATAAACAAGGCCGCCACGCAGCGGGTCACGTGACTAGACTGGTTTACTGGGTCGATCCAGAGACAAAGGCTGCACAGCTGTGCAGTGGTTAGAGCTTACACCTCACAGCTGGAAGCTCTTTGCCTATGTCGCGTTTGCATCTTCTCCCCGTGCACATTTATCGCTAGGTCTTATTAAATCCACACACCTTTTGAAATTATGCACATTAACTTAAATTTGGATGACTGGGCTTTCCAAGTGGTTTTGTAAATAAAGCTCAGCAGATGCATGGATGCAGTTAGAGAGGACATGGGGGGAGATGGTGTGAGGTCAGAGTGGGAGGAGGATGACGTGATGTGACGACCCTGAGGAAAAGCCAAAAGAAGAGCTCCCTTTGTGAAAGTTATGATTTCTCTTTTTTGTTTCTGTCTGCAGCTGATGAGTCCAAGTTTGACGATGGAAGCTAAATAAGCTGTATATTGAGGAGTATTTACAAAAGAAGAAATAAAAGAACATTGCAAGAATGGACGAGTCATTTGATCCACTCAAGTGTAACGAGGACTTGCTTTCCTCACCAGGGTGCCACATGGAATATGGTAAAATGTCAAACTCCCACAAAAAATGCTCTTCAATTAAATTTCCGCTATATATTTAGTATGAATAAAACCACTGTCTCCTCTCAGATGACATGCCCGAGCTGCAGGAGGTGGAGGAGGACCAGAGGTCTCAGGGGTTGTTTCAGGTGGGAGCTGTGTCTCACCAGGAGCTCAGCTGCTCTCCTAACACCAACTGGCTCACTGAGTTAGCCAACATCGCCACCAGTCCTCAGAGCCCGCTGCTGAAGGATGCCCCACACAAGAGGTTGGCACACATGCAATCACTTGAAACTTGAAAATCAGCTAAGCCTAACAAATCCTGTGCATGCGACATACTTCTACTATAAAATTAACACACAAACACATGAGTATTCACCATTACCCCTGAGGGGGTTTCACAAAACAGGACTGGCAAGTTAACAACATTAGAATGTGTGTTGTGAAATGCAGTGTACCCTGGAATTGTGTTGATTTTTAGCTACTGTTGGATCAATATGACCTAAACTTAATGTATTTTCTGCCCTATAAGTCACACTTTTTTACATAAGTTACATGCCCTGCAACTTATAGGCCCAAGTGACGTATTTATGGATTTTCCCCATATTTATAAACCAATTTTTGGCTGAGATATGACCGTTTTCATTCATTCTGACCGAAATTTTTTTTTTGAGCAGTACCACATTCAGCCACTCGACGGCAGCAGAGTAGTAGTAGCAGTAAGGCATGCCATTGTATCATGTAATAGGTAAATGTGGCTATAATGACAAATTCAAAATAGTTCAAGACAAAAACAACTGGACTTTATTTATTATACTTTATTGTTTTTGTCTTGAACTTTTTTGAATTTACCATGTCCTGGATGACTGAGAATCTTCACCAGCTATTAATGACTCAATTGGCCTGCCGTAGCCTCCCCACCTTCATTCTGCTTGCTGCTTGGAACCATCAAACCAGCTGCACCACCTCGGCGAAATGCAGCTAATTGGACCATTAAAGTGCATTTATTAAGCAAATGTTAGACTGAGACACACCTTTGCTATAATTTCGAGCAAACAAATAATTATTTTAGGCGTTTATCTTGTTAAATGTGCACAGCGACTCGTCATGTGCACGCGTTTACTTCCGCGTATCAGATTTTGAAATGCAGTTGATTTGACCATCAAAGCGCATTTATTAAGTAAAAGTTCAACTGAGACACGCCTTAATTTCAAGCAAACAAACAATTGTTTTTAAGAGTTAATCTTGTTAAATTCTTGTTAAGTCCTTCCGTGCACGCTCCCACAGCCGCCATTTGGTGGCCCATCGATTTTTGGCACAACACCGGCCCACATTTCTGGGTTGTCAGCGCTGACGCATAGTAGATGCGACGTATACGGCGAAGTGACGTATTTATGGATTTTTCCATTTTATTAGACAAATATGGACTGATGTGACTTGTAGGGCGGAGCGACATGTACGGTGGAAAATATAGTATATATAAATTAAAGGCCTATCATTTCTTGAAGGAATGCATAATGCCTGCTGCCTTTCATGTCAAAGCTTTAAACAGAAAACATATTGAGGCCAAGTTATTCCCATTTAGGTCAAACATTCTTAACTACTGTGCATAATCTCATGATACTGTGAGATCCTTTGAGATGTAGAAGTTGTGGAAGACCATCTGCTACTGCCACAGCAAACATAGGTAAATATACTGTAAATTTAATGAGGTTATAGCTATTTATGTGTTGGCTAAGGTTGATTAGCTGTGGCAGCCATCTTGAATAGGGATAACTCCTGAAGTTAATAGTTTTTTTTTTTTTTCCATTCAACCTTTATTTATGCAGGTTAGACTCACTGAGTCACGAGGACTCATTTTTAAGCGAGACCTGTTTTAGACAAACCACAGATGAGGTACACACAACAATAAACAGCCATAAAATCATATAAAATGAAAAGTAAATAAAAGTAGTGGTATAACGCAAAATAAAAACAGCTACATTATGAAATGAGTTAAAATACTAAAAACAGGAACATTTATTACAACCGGCCCCATGATTCACCAGATGTGTTGCTAACGGACAGGCAGGGTTGATGTCAGCAGTTAATGCCAAAGCGTTAAGCAAAAGTATCGCACTGTGACTGAACCTCGGAGTGCTGATACTGAACTCAGACTACGCATTAAGGGTGGTGCTCTGCTACAGCCACACCAAAGTTGAGCACAATACCTGCACAGTAGTCATTGTGGAGTTTCCTAAGGTCACTTGGCTGTGGTGCCCAACTTTAGTTGACACGACTCCAAAAATTAGTCGGTTGCAGATGTACAGCCAGTGTAAGAGAGTTTTCTTTCTATTCTAATTCATGACAGGTTTTGCTAACTCTACAAAAAAATATGTACTCATACACAGATGTATGGGCAAAAACACAGGTGTTGTTTCACCTTCAACAATGACTAAACAAATAAATGAAAATACCAAACATATTTGTGCGTTATTGCTTGGATTTCTGTAAAGGTCGACCTGTCCGTTTTAAAATGAACAATATTACTAATATGCTCATGCAAAAGAGAATTCTGTCCTTGTTTGGCACACGTATCCACACTGCAACCACACATTGTAAAATTATATTTATATTGTCTATTTCAGATCGTCTCCAGTCCACATCTTTGGCAGCAGTAACAGTTTACATTCCTACGCCCGGCCCCCGTTAGCCAGCAGTGCACCCAATCCTTCCAGAGGCCACCTCAGGGAGCGCAGGCGTGTCAGGGTAATTTCTCCAGCTCCACCTTCACTACTGAAACCTAAGAACCATTTGTTCCCATAGGATTAGTGGTTATTTCCTGCTAGACAACAGGTACGGTTCGTGCTCAGGCTGATTTTTTTCAAACTTGTTGTCCACCACAGGCCAGCAGCGAATCAGAGTCTGGTGTTTTCTCGATGTCCTCGTCATTTTCTGATGATGAAGACATGGCGTGGTCTCATTCCTGGCCCTCCACAGCCTGGCACTGCTTCCTCAAAGGTTCTTGCTGTTTACCTGTACATCCATCAGCACATTCTGAATATGCAAACACTTTGACTTAACTCAAACATGATGGTAACTGGAGCATTTCTTAAAATAACTTCAAATAACGATCGTCTAAAATTTGACACCGACGTGTCCTCAGTAAAGTGACTGCGTTTGTTTTTTCAAACCTTAGCTTTTGCATCAGTGACATTTTAAAGTGTGAATACATTTATTTAAAATCTTTTTTTTTTTTCAAGCAATACAATTTTGTCATGATTGAAAGGGCAAATACAGTAGTTCCTCATTTATCGTGGGGGATCCGCACCTTGAAGACCCACGATAAGTGGAAAACCACAAAGTAGGAATATTAGTACAAGTAGTAGTTTATTTTTATTATATATATTTATATATCTATATATAGATATATAACAGTGTTTTAAACTCTTCCCACACTCTTGCAATATTCTAAACAATGTTTCTAAATTCTAAACGCTCTAAAAGAGCGCAGAATGTCATGATTTCTGCTCTCTGCCTCCTCTGCTCTTTGCCACTTGCAAGTGCTCTTGGCCACGCCCACTCCTCCGCTCTGCACGGTGAACAGCTGATCAGCTGCAGCAGGACGTTTATCCTGCAGTATGGGCTGCACAAATGTGCTGCAGGTGCTAAATAATTTAAAATAACATTTTAAATAAGAATCCCATGCCGACTGTGCGGCTCATCCATCAATCAGCCAATTGTGTGTCATGTCCAATTTTATTTTGAAAAACCACAATACAGCGAGTCTGTGGTAAACGAACCGCGAAGTTGCGAGGGACTTCTGTATTTTTAACTTGGTCAAAACAGCACTGATGTGTTCCTAAATGCTCTAACAACTCAACATCAGGACCTTTGATTGGGTGAAACGGGAGGAGAACGGACGTTCATACAGCTGCTCTCAGCTCTGCTGTTCAAGCAGCAGCATTACATCAAGTTTTCTTCATTCTCTTGGAAGTTTTTCACACAGCAGCTCATTCATCATGCTGCTTTGTTGTGTTGACATTCAGGCACTCACCTGCGTTTCCATCGAGGTCCTAATGTGGAGTGGCAGGAAGCTGACGAGTTGAGGGATTCAGATGATGACTCGGATGATGAAACCATGATGCAATCCTCATTTTCTATCAAGGTGAGACAGCCAACAGTGACTACGGAGTGGTAAAGAATTATTCTTGCTATTCTTGGGCCGGCCACAAGCTGACTGTGATGTGCAGTGACGGTCCCATGGCATGGAAACAAACTTTCAGTAAATTAGACATCGTTTTGAAACGAACGACTCACTAGTTGTGATGTCAGCTTGTTTATTCTGACTCTTTTGTTTGTTTTATTTACAGAGATATGGTTCAGATGGACTTAAACTTGTGAACCATGAAGAAACAATTACTTTTGGCCAGGCAATTCTTAAATTGACCTTTGACCCAGGCTCCCCAGAAAAAGGTCTTCTAACAGCCGAATGCCGCTTGGATCATCCATTTTTTGTCAAAAATAAAGGTACTATTAAACCTGATTATTTTCTGTTTAGCAGCAGTTTTTATGCAACAGATGGTAAAGCTCAAACTGAATGCAATGAATTCTGCAATATTTTATTGTTCATCGAGAGATCAAAGCCAGATTTTATATAGAGATCTGTGGATTGAATTTTTGCCAGTAAAATCTTCCATTCTTCAAATAAAACAAGTTAAATAAGACTTTTCAGCTTTGTGTTTAAACGAACGACTTTAAACTCCAGCTAATTTGTAACACACCGCCTGTCGTCGTCAGGGTGGTCCTCTTTCTACCCAAGCCTTACTGTGGTGCATCATGGGATTCCCTGCTATGAGATGCAGCTGGGTGATGTGTGTCTGCCACCGGGCCACCCCGATGCTATTAACTGTGATGACTCCGTTGTCTTTGACACGTTCAGAAGGTACACTCATTGAATTATTGTCTTGCTTTTTATAATCCAGACTGTATAATGAATAATATAATTCATTGTTGATAGCTGAATATCAGGAACATTTTTTCAATTCAATTCAGTTCATTTATTTAGCACCAAGTCACAACAAGTTGTCTCAGGGCACTGAACAGAAACATTCACATACAATAAAAAGTCAATGAGTAAAAGTTCTTTATTTAACGGAGCCAGCAGACGCGTTGAAACTTCACTTCATCACAGTCTCTCATCCTGAGCGAGCACAAAGGAGACAGTGGAAAGGAAAAACTTCCTGTTAACAGGAAGAAACCTCCAGCAAAACCAGGCTCAGGACAAGCGTCCATCTGCTTCAACCGGCTGGGTTTGAGAGGACAGGAAGGAGAGACAAACACAGAATGACAGGTCCAGATGAACTTTCTGTAGGAGGAAAGACAAAAAAAAAACATGTTCAGATAGAAATAATTACAAATACAAACTATTCATTTGTAACTATTCTTTTGAGGAAATGTGGTCAAATTGTCCTCCAGCAGTCTAAGCCTATAGCAGCACAACTAAGGGACAGCTCAGGAAACTCAAGCCAACCCTAACTATAGGATTTATCAAACAGGAAAGTCTTAATCCCAGTCTGTAAACTGGACAATGTGTCAACCTCACGGACAGAAACTGGAAGTTGGTTCCACTAGAGAGGAGCCTGATAACTGGAAGATCTTCCTCCCATTCTGCTTTTTGAAACTCTAGGAACCACGAGTAAACCTGCAGTCAGAGTGAGGTGCTCTGTTAGGAAAATATGGAACTATAAGATCTGTAATATAAGATGGAGCTAGGTTGTTGAGAGCTTTGTAGGTTAGAACAAAAGCCATGATATGTTTCTGGACATAAATATAAAGAGTTAAAATGCTTCAGAATTTATTCATTAACTTAAAATGATGTTACTGTACTGATTACTGACTGTAGTCCAATTTCTAGGCGATGATTTGTTTTACAAATTTAAGTCAAAGCAGATATTTCTCTCTACACAGGACATGGAGTTTTGTTTTTGTTTACATATTTACCTGTTTGTTACATCTACTCCTTACTTTAGAAAATATATGAAGAAGCACCAATCACATTTTTATAGCCTTTTACCTAAATGTAAAATTATTATTATTTTTTTTCTTGTGGTGACAAACATTTCCCCAACTTTTCTCACAAAAAATGTAACTGTATGTTTGTAAAAATGAAACTAGCATTTTTTAAGAATCCATACCACAGGCCTTCTTGCATGCCAGTGTTTTAAATAAAGATCACATGTGATCTTTTAGGCATACAGTATTTGTTTGGGGCAACATTCTCAGCTACTGCCACACTAAAATTGATTTTATCTGTTAAAAAACAACTGAATTATTGCACTTTTTGCGTTTGCTGAAGTTTTGCTCTTGTGGCCATTTTGAATAGGGTTGACTCCAAAGGTTATTCAGCTGTAATTGTACATCCAGTGGTTGTTTTCTGACACTTTCATGAAATTTTGTCCAGTAATTTACAAGATATTTTGCTAACAGACAGACAAACAAATGAACAAAAGTACTCACACAGACACAGAAACAGGCAGTGAGTGACATCGTTGCCTGTTTTTCATGATGGCGTGTGATAATAATCACTGATTGTTAAAGAAATCTGAACTGTACAACATACTTTGGAATGCATGCAATTATTTTTTTAACTAATTCAGTGAAATAAATTGATGCAAATTCCACTTTTATGCAAGAATAACATCTAATACCTTAATTGCCTACTGCTTTGAAAGGTGATTGATTGCTAGTGTTTGTGTGTATTTATTTATCTGTCTGTGAGCAAAATATCTCATGAACCATTGGACAGATTTTGTGGACACACTAAAAAATAACCCCTGGATTAAAAATAACCCCTGGATGAAAATCTATAACTGATTACTTTTAGAGTTGGCGTGATCCACAATGATTTTTCCACCTAACTGATTTTAGACAACAGATAAGGTGCTCTAACTCAGTCAGGTTTAAATACGCTGTTTGGTTGGTGGTAGCTGAGAGTCATCCCTATCTCATGCTCAAAGCACTAACGGGTGATGGAATATCTTTGTTTGAAACTTTTGCACGTAAGGTGGCAGAAAATACACATTCCTTCAAGGAATCCTACTTTTATTCTGTTGTTGCATAGATCTTGCAGGTGACTGTACATAGAAACTTTATATATACCGTATTTTCCACCGTACACGTCGCACCGCCCTATAAGTCGCATCAGTCCAAATATGTCTAATAAAGTGGAAAAATCCATAAATATGTTGCTTTGCCGTATAAGTTGCATCTATTATGCGTCACTGCTGATGCGTCGCGTTTGTTACGTGTCACCACTTTTACCTCTTACATGATACAACGGCATGCCATACTGCTCAACTGCCATCTAGCGGATAAAAATGGTAGTGTTCAATATTTCAGTCAGAATGAATGAAAACGGTCATATCTCAGCCCAAAATTTGTTTTTAAATATGAGAAAAATCCATAAATATGACGCTTCGGCCTATAAGTTGCAGGGTATACAAATTATGCAAAAAATTTGACTTATAGGGCGAAAATTACAGTATTTGTATTTAACTGCAGAATTCAAGCTAAGGAACAGTAATTTCTATAATAACAAGAGCAGATATATTTACACTGCATATAAATCATGGGGATTTTGATAAATGCATATAACAGTAGCATGTATTTTTAATTTTTGCCATTTTCTCTGCAGCTATGACTTCACCCCGCTCGATTCCTCAGCTGTGTATGTTCTCAGCAGCATGGCTCGTCAGCGCAGGGCCTCCCTGTCTGGCGGGGGGGCTGTCAGTCCAGACTGTGATAAACTGGAGCACTACAGCTCCCCTCAATCCTCCAGTATCAGATCAAACAGGAGCCACAATTCAGGGACAGCCAGCGGTGCCACGCCTACAAAATGCAAGCGGCCAATGAATGCCTTCATGCTTTTTGCCAAGAAGTACAGAGTGGAGTACACTCAGATGTATCCGGGAAAAGACAACAGGTGAGCAGTGACAAAAGGCAATCTATGAGTGCTTTTTAATTTAAGTTTGTTTATTCAGTTTATATTACAACAACTGAAGATTTCATGCTCTTCTCTTTATAGCTAAAGTGTGATCACAGGAATGTTGTTTGTTTTTGCATTGGCATTCTTCTACGACAATTATTTTAATAATTTATTCATGCTTTTGTCACTTCACCACTGGACAGCTGCAATTTTCTGTTTGTTGGTTTAGATAAGTCGTCTTTGCATCGTCTACAGTCCAGAGCAGGAGCTTGGCTTCTCACGGTCCAAAGAAGATAGAACATAGATCACCATCTTAGTATCTATTTATTAGCTTTTTGTCCATTTTCAAATTGATATTATAATATTACCTTTTAAAGTTTAAATGTTATCATCTCATCATACTTACACACCTGGAAGAGAACTCCTGTCAACCAGCCAGTTTCTCCCAGATGTTCCATATGCAGATTAAAATAAGGGCTTTTGTAGTGGCTGTTCACTGGTTTACCATTTTTTTTAATATATGCACAGCTCAGACCACAGAGACTTGTACATCGATGCCTAAGAACTGGCTTTTACTTTGGCTTCAGAGTAGGAATGTGCGATATGGCATAAAATTCATATCACAATATGTATTGTGAAGGGTGGCGATAACGATATATATCGCAATATGTTTTGGGCATAAAACTTAATAGGAATTTTTAAAAAAGCGTAGGGTGTCCTTTTGCTATCATATATTTTGAATTAAAAAAATTCCGCTACTAGGTCCAGAGAGTTTTTAAATAATAAACAAATCAAGTATTAGGCTTCTTTCTTGTAGTGCAAAACAATGCAAAATATATCAAAGGTAGTTTAAGCCATATGTTTTAAACAAAAGAATATGTTGTTAACTCATAGCAGTCTCACTTCAGAAATGAACAGCAACAGAGCAGCATTTTACACTGAAACACTTCACCCTCCAACCCTCTAGTGGGCGACTCCTTCTGCTTTAATGGAGTGTTGACACAAAATGAGTCTGTGGCTTTGACCAGAGGGTCTTTCAGTAAAATCACACAACACAGCATTCTTTTACAGATCAGAGAGCAGGTTTCTCTAAAGCTGACCAACGCTGACTTTAACTTTCGATGGAAAAACCCCCAAAACATTTGACGGAACACAGCGTGTTGCGCATGCGTCCGAATACGGCAACACTACGGCAAGCCGGCCGTAGTGAGCTTGTAGCTTCGCTACTTAGCTCTCGAAGAAAAGACTTTAACGCCACTTGCGCACAGTTAAAAAAAAAAAAAGGTAACGATTAAACTGAAAACTCTGATTTTACATCAGACACAGCATTACTGCGGTTAGCCGGTAGAAGACAGATCCATATCGTAGGCTAAATTTCTATCATTTCTACCGTGCACCATATATATCGTGCATTCCTACTTCAGAGTTGAACAGAGCAATGATTATTAGATCTTATTGTTTGAATGCAGAGTCAGCATTTTGTACAAATTCTTGAATCAAAACACATTTGCAGTTTTTGCGTAGTTTTACCCATTCATATAAATATACAGGCAGCATGGTGGCTCAGGTGATTGTTGCCTCTCTGCAAGAAGGTTGTTGGATCGAATACCATCCAGGGGCCTTTCTGGGTGGAGTTTGCATGTTCTCTCAGTGCATTAGTGGGTTTTCTCCAGGTACTCCAGTTTCCTCCCACAGACCAAAAACATGCATGTTAGACTGATTGGTAACTCTAAATTGTCTCTAGGTGTGAGTGAGAGAGTGAATGGTTGTTTGTCTCATTTGTCTCTATGTGTCCCTGTGATGGACTGGAGACCTGTTCAGGGTGTCCCCTGCCTCTCTCACAGTGACAGATGGACATGGACACCAGTGTCCTCCACGACCTGAAAAGGAAGAAGCGGGAAGCGGGTAAAGATGATGGATGGATATAAATATACATTTGAATTGCATTAAGATATCATCAATACCTTCTGATTGTTGTGCTTTTGGAAGCTGCTTCTACATATTTGTTCTATTTTGCTACTTTTAGTTTTTGTCCACCATTCTGCTCCTTATAGCTTTTGGCTAAAGTTTTGCTGATTTTACAGTTTTACCGAATTTAGCTTTAGCATCATATCTTTTATTTTTAACAACAGTTTTGCTAATTTTAGTGACGGCATTGTTAAATTCAGCTTAAGCATTTGCTTTGCTACTTGGAGCACATGTTTTGCTAATTTTAGCATCAATTTAGCTAATTTTAGCATCAATTTAGCTAATTTTAGCATCAATTTAGCTAATTTTAGCATCAATTTAGCTAATTTTAGCATTAGAAAATGTTTTATTATTGTTCAGCTGCAGTTGGTCAAATAAAATAAATAAATAAAATTTAAGTTCCAATGAGTTACAAAGTTGGTAACATCAAATTATGTCAGAAGGGAAAGCAAGTATCCATCCGTCCGTCCGTCCGTCCGTCCGTCCGTCCGCTTCTTCCCTTTCGGGTCACTGGTGCCCATGTCCATCTATCATTGTGCAAGAGGTGGGGGACACCTTGTACAGGTCTCCAGTCCATCACAGGGACACACAGAGACAAATGAGACGGTTATTCACTCTCACTCACACCTAGAGACAATTTAGAGTTACCAATCAGCCTAACATGCATGTTTTTGGTCTGTGGGCGGAAACTGAAGTACCTGGAGAAAACCCACGCAGCATGAAGAGAACATGCAAACTCCACCCAGAAAGGCCCAGCTGGGATTTGATCTGGTAACTTTCTCGCTGAGAGGCAACAGTTCTACCAACTGAGCCACCGTGCCACCTCTGAGAAAGCAAACAGCAGATAGTAATGTTAAACAAAACGAGTGTTGATGATTCTCATTAGTGCAGTTATTAAAGTAGTTTCTACACTGGCATGCCCTACATGCCTTCACTAAACGTTGTTTTTTAGCTTTACTTTCAGATGTTTCAGTTTTGTTTTCAGATGGTGTAAAATGTATAAAAGCTGTTTTCATGTTTCCTGGAACAAAGGAACTGTACAGAATGTTGTAAAACCAAAGGCCTTTGATCATAGCAAGTAAAAGTTCTTTTTGTGTTTCCATCCATTCACTCCAGAGCCATAAGTGTCATCCTGGGTGACAAGTGGAAGAAGATGAAGAATGAAGAGAGGCGGATGTACACCATGGAGGCCAAGGCTTTGGCTGAGGAGCAGAAAAGACTCAATCCTGACTGCTGGAAACGTAAACGAACCAACTCAGTAAGCACCACAGTTAATCCATATTTCAGTATATTGTATTTTCTGTCGTACACATCGCACCGCCCTATAAGTCACATCAGTCCAAATATGTCTATTAAAGTGGAAAAATCCATAAATATGTCGCTTCGCCATATACATCACATCTATTATGCGTCACCGCTGACAACCTGGAAACATGGGCCGGTGTTGTGCCAAATATCAATTGGCTGCTAAATGGTGGCCACAGAAGCGTGCACGGGAGGACTTTAACAAAAAATTAACAAAATTAACACTTAAAAACAATTATCTGTTTGCTCGAAATTATAGTAAAGGTGTGTCTCAGTTTAACTTTTCTTAATAAATGCACTTCAACGGTCAAATCAGCTGCATTTCAAAAGCTGTTATGCGGAAATATGAACGCACAGAGGGCGACTTGCTCTGCATTTCTTTGAACTTTAACAAGAGAAGCACCTAAAACAATTATTTGTTAGCTCGACTTAAAAATTGGGTGGGTAAAAATTGGGGTATAGTAGAGGTGCGTCTCCGTTGAACTTTTACTTAATAAATTCACTTCAATGGTCAAATCAGCTCATTTCTCCGGGCGCAGTGAAATGAAGCTGATTTGACGTTTGTTCCAGGCAGACGACGGTGGCAGTGTATGGCAAGCTGATTGTGTCATTAATAGCCACTTTTAATAGCCACTTTTCCCTAATACTGTACATGACACAACGGCATGCCACACTGCTCAACTGGCTTCTAGTGGCTGAAAATGGTAGTGCTCAATATTTTCAGCCAGAATGAATGAAAACTGTCATATCTCAGCCAAAAATTGTTTTTTAAATATGGAAAAAAATTCAAAAATATGTTGCTTTGGTGTATAAGTCACAGGCTCTACAAATTATGCAACAAAACTGTGACTTATAGGGCAAAAAATATGGTAGTAGCATTATCATAACATCTACTTACTGATTGTTTAACACACATCTGCTGTTTTCTGTTCATAGGGTTCCCAGCAGACCTAAAACCTCCACCAGAACGCCCCCCAGCAGCTGGTGTGGTGGTGGTGAACCGCTTGATGCCTCTTCGCTCTCCTGTATTCTTGAGATCCAACTGTGATGCTGAACTCACTCGCTTTTTACACAATATAGTGACGAAACTGCATTATAAAAGCATATACAAACATGTAATCTAGTCACTAACAGTGCATATATTTTCTTATATCTTCAATGTCCAAGATGTCTTATTCCCTCTAGAGAGAAAAGTGGGAGAATGTCTCTTATTTCAGGTCATTTTTTAAAAGTCAGTGGTGGAAAACAATGAGGTGCTGCGCTTTAGGACAGAGAGATGAGCAAGCATCTATTTGTAATTATAAACAGGCAATTTTAAACAACTTTTGTACTATTGATATTTGTAAGATTTAGTATATTGCACAGATTGGTAATCCATACAGTTTGTATCTTACCACTGAACTATGGCTCAGAGTTGATAAGCAATCCCATCCAACCACCATGTCTGCATGTGGTGGTGGTCAGCCACAAGCTCGTCATGCCTGTACTGTAAGTGGTTATTTTGTCTGCACTTTATATAAATAATGTTATCTGGTCCTATACAGCCATTGTATTCTGGTAAACAGTTTGTATGTTGCATCTAGTGTTTTCGTAGTTACCCGTTTTACACAATCATGGCCCAGCAGGCATGCTCTGCTTTCAGGTTGCTTTTGAATTTTAACTACTTTGTTCATAATGTACAGGTTTCAATGCACCAACAACATCTTGCACAAAATATCCTTGTATTATATTATAAATAATTTTGTAAACTTCTCACTCATGTGTATTGTTGTTTTATTCCAGCTGCTTCAACACATTTTTGCTATTGTTCTTATTGGATTTGGGAAACAGTCCTTTTCACTCATCACTTTGCTGTTTCAATAACAAAAACTTGAGTAACTTGTTGCCCCCCCCAAAAAATTAAAATAAAAAACTCGAGCTTTTGTTATCCTCTGATTTTCACAATGTGATTTTTTTATTTCCTTCTTTATCTCTGCTGGTTTGCAGTACCACAAGTGGTGCCTCCGAGATAAATGAAGAATACATCGTTGGTTCTTACTGAATTTTAAACTTGATGAAACTTAAAAAGAAAAATCTCAAAGTAAATGTGAATAAATGTTTCAAGAGATGGTGTTTCCAAGACAAACTTGTATTCCTCCCCAGTAAAACAAAACATTGATGTAGTATGTAGCTTTGCTAAATCTAGAAAAGAAAATTCTTGCCAATGGTTGGTGCAAATTGTTTGCACCAGAGGGCGCTATTGTCTCATTTTCTTTCAACTGGCTGCAATTTTTTTCCTGACTTCAATGTCAATGATCATGAGAGAAAATTCATAACACAGTGGATTCTTGTTTCTTTAGAAAACAGTTTATCCGTTCATCTCAAAACAAAACATTCCTCAGATGATTTATGGACAGAGAAAATTGTTATGCAGCTCCTAAGAGTAAATTTCATGTGTAAATGGGAAGTGGTCATTAGAAACGTGTGAGAAATCACAGCTTAACTCGCCTCACAAAATAACATGGAAACCCCTGAAATCTTTACCAGTGCAGGAATCAAACATCTGCACTTCCACAACAAGCTGCTCCTGAAGAGCAGAAGTTTTCACTGCTGATGGAGACGTGAGAAGCTGCGTCTCTCTCGTGCTTCTGTGCTGAACAACAGTTTAAAAAGAAGACTTGAGTACACAGCGGCTGAAAATTAAAAGCATTTTTCAAATCGTGTCACGATTTAGTGAATTAAAACAATGTGTCATGAGCGCACACAAACTGCTAACAGCTGTCTTGTGGATGAACGTTTCTCTGTGGACTGAAGGAACATGTTGTCTACTTGGGTTTTCTCATTAGTTGTTCAGGATGGAGTTGGGAAACAAATGAGGGGTCATGATGATTTCCAGGAATCAACGTTTTTTTAAGTGATTGGTAACATTTGTACATGTTGACTGTTCAGAAATATTTAAAAACTGCAACTGTATATTAAAAACATAGTTTCCTAGTCGAGTTGTTTTTCTTGAGAATCTGGTTTTGGCTTGTTAAACACCCGGTGATCATGTCCTGTTTGCCTTAGCAAAATATCTCTTGAGCCAGTGTATGAATTTTAATGAAACATCCATCCAATCATTGGATGCACTTCTGCATTTACATTTTAGAGTCACACCAGTTCAAGTTGGCTACAAGTAATAAACTTTGGAAACCTCTAAACTGTCTCTAGAACTATAACCAAACTATAACCAAAGGGAGGCTGTTTTCAAACAGGAAGTCAGTCCCAGCAGTTCTTCCTCTGATTTTATCCTCAAATGATGTCCCGATTGAGTTTGTTGATTCTTACAAATATTTGGGTATCTTGGTCGACTCACATCTCTCTTTTAAGCTCCACGTGGAAAACTTGGCAAAGAAACTGAAAGTTAAACTGGGTTTATTTTTCAGAAACAGATCCTGGTTAACGCTAATGCAGGAAACGCCTTGTAACTGCAACATTTCTTCCCTCCATTGATTACGGTGACATTATTTACATGAACGCTCCTACAAGAACACTGCAGATGTTGGATGCTGTCTATCATGGTGCACTAAGATTCATAACTGGCTGTAATTATCGTACCCACCACTGCACCCTGTATTCATTGGTTAACTGGACATCATTAACTTCACACAGACTCTCACTGGTACATTTTCATCTTTAAATCACTTCTTGGTCTGCAGCCTTCATACATCTCCTCCTACATGTCTCTGCGTGAGTGCAGTTACAGCGTGCGCTCTCAGGACATTATTACCTGCAGTGTTCCCTCAGTGAGGACTGAACTTGGCAAAAGGAGCTTCTCCTACTCCGCTCCTGTTTTCTGGAATATCTTACAAAAAGATCTGAAGCGCTCGACCTTGACCTCTCAAAGTGGCTTCAAAACATCTTTTAAGTTCATGGCAAAAACCAACGCAGACATGTTCCTGTTTTTAGTTTTCTACACCGCTTTACAATCTAGCTGTGCTTTGTTATTTTTTTTAAATACCATTATATTTTCACTTGTTATTCTCAACTTGTACGCATCCTTTATGATTGTCTATTCTGTTGTCCACTGCCGTCATCACTCTTTGTTAAAATCAGGTCTCTCTTGTAAATGAGTCCCCAAGTCTCGATGGGATTAACCTGTATAAATAAAGGTTGAATGCATGAATGAACTCATCCACTTTTACAGATATTAAAATAAAATTAAATGTGGTAGTAGCTGAGAGTCATTCACAACACCCATGTTAAGTGCTTACAGATCACATGGGATCTTGAAATATCACGTTCAGTTGCGTCATAAGAAGTAATTAAAAAAGTTTGGCTGCTGTTCCGTGCTCTTCTGAGCGTGAGATGATCTTTAACTTTGTCATGGTAGGAGGTGCAGCGGTAACGCATTCCTTCGAGGAATGTGTGGCATTTAATTAGCAACGTTTGGACCTTTTAATCAGTAACAGGTGGGGCCTCAAAGTTTCTGCGGCTGCTTTCAAATGAATGAAGCTTTATTTCCTCCTCACGTTTACAATGAAATTGCAAAGTTTCCCAAAGTGCTACGAAAAATTGCTTAGTGCACAGCATGGCATGTACAGTACATTAAACTGTGGGCTGGAACCTAAAGGCTTGGGAACAACAAATTTAACAGAAAATTCAAAAGTGTAAAAACCTCCTTTTCCACATCCACTGCTATAATTCAGGCAGAATTAAAGTTAAACATTAAAGCAGTGCAAAAAAACAATTAATTTGAGATCACCTAGTAGCAAACAAATCCACACATTAATGCATCAAAGAGAGGCGAACAAACAAAGTGACATCCTGTGACAGCATGCATGAAGAAGACATGAATACTAAAACCAACCCTCTGAATGGCAGTCATCATCGCTGTTGGCTTCCACACAAATCAGACGCTGCACCTTAATCAAGACGGTCTCATTAGAGGCAATTAGGGATTCATGGAGAGATAGCAGGGACTCTGTGTCTTTGCAGGATCAAAGTGTTGTTGTCTGGAAGTAAATGTCTAAAAGCCAGTTTGGTACGAACACATGACCCTGTGGTTTTCTACATGGTTTCTATAAGTGGCGGTCATCTGTCAAAGCACAAACAAAGCTCCTGTCTCCATTTAAAAGTCAGAACTATATAAATCACTCCAGAAGCACTCTGCCCATTTGTCACATGTCTTAAATTACACTGCTATATGCAGACCTTTCAGAAAACAACGCTGGCAGGAATAAGAGTGCATGTGACGAAGATATCTTTTCAGCCATCAGAGCTAAAGATTTCTGATGAATCATTTTGTTGTCAGCGGTGAAAGAAAATAAATGTACAAAACAAAGGAGGGACTGACGGGGTTTCTCAAAAAGATTTTAATGCTGCATATACTGTACGTTCCAGGCGACACGGTGGCTCAGCTGGTAGAGCTGTTGTCTCTCAGTGAGAAGATCGCTGGTTCAAATCTCGGCCCATGATCTTTCTGGGTGGAGTTTGCATGTTCTCTCTGTGCATGTGCACGTTTTCTCCAGGTACTCCAGTTTCCTCCCACAGACCAAAAACATGCATGTTAGGCTGATTGGTAACTCTAAATTGTCCCTAGGTGTGAGTGAGAGAGTGAATGGTTGTTTGTCTCGTTTGTCTCTATGTGTCCCTGTGATGGACTGGAGACCTGTCCAGGGTTCTGGACATGGGTACCAGTGACCCCCACAACCCAAAATGGAAGAAGTGGATAAAGATAATGGATGGATATATATTCCAAGAATCCACATAATCAATCCTTTCAGGTTTGAAAATTGTGTTTATTTGATGACAGGTTAGAAAACACAAAAGTGTCACAGCAATACTCAAAGAGCTGGAGAACAGCTAAAGTTCAGGATTTTAATATTTCTTTTGGAAATTGTATTTTACAAAATGAGATTAAAACAAAAAAAACATGTTTGTGATTTTTGCTATCACCAACTATTATAAGTGATGTGGAAGTGATTTTGATGTGCCGTCCATTTAAATCTCCACAGAGAAAATGAAAAGTGATGCTTCTGTTACAGCCTCATCTAAAGCCCTGCTGCTCAGTGAAGACATTTATGACAACGTCGGTAGAAAAAATGATGGATGGCTCAGGATTTAACCCTAAAACTACCTGCTGCTTTAAATCAGCCAGTAACATTATCCTGGTGCCACTTTCTAACGCTCACTAACCTAAAACTGGCTGCAGAGAACAATATTCTTGTAATTATTTATTTTTACTGTAACATTAAATAGATAATCACTTAATATGAAAAAAAAATAATCTCTGCTTTCCCTCAGGAAAGAATTGTGACAGGATGTTGATTGACATCTGCCTGGTGGCAAGGTGATGGTCACCCAAAAGATACTGAAGCTACGTGGAGAAAAATAAATGCTTCGTTGTTACAGTACGGCTGGATTCTTTCTTACACTAACTGAACTTAAATTCATCATTTCTTCTAACTTAAAAACAAGCTCTTTTTTTTATGTAGAAACTTGCAAATGCTTACAAAAATACAAAACATGTAGAAGAATCATTACTTACATAACTCAAAGAGCTTCCCCTTAATTAACTTTATTAATCAATACACACAGATAATACCTGCAATAAGCTAATGTTGGCATTTCACTGAATTACAGCAGATGAGATCTCATTCCTTCTCATGCAGAACTGAAAAAGAAGTCTGCATCAATAGAAAATAAAAAGATCGCCCATTAAAAGTTCTAATTCAAA